TCGAAACAAGAAATTGGGCTTGCGCATTGGATACGAGTTTGTGTATGGGAACTGTTTCATGAATGGTCGGCACTGTATCAGTTACCGCCAGTAAGATCGGGAAATGTACAATAGGTTAGGTTGATATTATTGCCAACAGTAGATCATCATTGTACGTTCTTCATTAGTTCTATTAGTTTGATCTTTTATCTATTCCAATTGTGGTCGTGTAAACAGTAAATGATAAAACCTCACACAGCTAGGTTTGACGGTGTCCTTTCAAAGTTTGTCCTATTAAATAAAATAGTAATGGGCAAGATGTGAGAGGGATCTTCCGTTTTCTGATAGCCCCCTTTCTGTTCCGATATAACGGATCTTAGTGTCTATCATCGTAAGATCTTCATTAATTCTATTAAGCTTGATCTTTTATCTATTCGATTGGCAGCCTTGTCAACAGTAGATTCGTCTAACTATTGATTAAGACATCACACAGCTTGGTTTGACAGCATCCTTTAAAGATATAGCGATGATAACATATTGACCTGTAAGATTCCAAGATGGCTGCCTGGGATTAATCTCGTCATGCAGCTGAAATTTGAAAAAGATCTTTTATGTACTTCCTCAGAAAAAGCGACAACAACTTAAGTTTTGAACAATCAAAACACATGAAGACTGTCTGGTGGCCATTTTGTTTATATGATAGGTCTCAAAATGAAACGTCCACAACTAAAGACCGAGCTGAACTTTCATGTTATTTTTAAAAGAGTATATATCTAGAGAAACAAGCATACTGAGTATTGCTGAAGCAATACATGTCCCCTACCGGCCCCCGCAATCTATTAAGATGCAACAGTGACCTCAACCTAGATCCGAGGACCTTGAACTTGAACGTGTCCAATATATTGAATTTTTTTACAATAATGTGAAGTTTGACTAAAATCCATGAAAGAATGAGGCACTAGAGTGCTGACAAAGATTTTTTTAAATAGTAATAGTGACCTTGTCTTGTCCTGATTACCTTGAAATTGTCCAAGATATTTAAATTCTTTACAATAATGTGAAGTTTGATTAAAAACTAGGAAAGAATGAAGGCGCAAGAATGCTGACAAACTTCTTCGGACAGACAGCGAGGAAAACTTTAGGTATTCTTGTTTTCTTCTCCCTCCCTGCCACCCCCACCCAGTTTCACCGGTAAAGGAATAAAAATACTAAGAAATCTTATTTGTTGATTGTAAAGGTATCTTTACAAGTGTGTGAAGTTTGATAAACAGGCAAGGAAGAATGTTAAATAAAATTTTCTATTTATAGTAACTGTGACCTTGACCATTTGACCTTAAAACTCGAACCTGTCCAACTCAAACTTGTCGAAGATATTTTAATTCTTTATGAGTGTGTGCAGTTTGATTAAAATCCATGAAAGAATGAAGACACTAGAGTGCTGACAAAGATTTTCTATTTATAGTAACAGTGACCTTGACCTTGATCCGATGACCTTGAAACTCGAACTTGTCAAAGATATTTTAATTCTTTATGAGTGTGTGAAGTTTGATTAAAATCCAAGAAAGAATGAAGACGCTAGAGTGCTGACAAAGATTTTCTATTTATAGTAATAGTGACCTTGACCTTGATCCGATGACCTTGAAACTCGAACTTGTCGAAGATATTTTAATTCTTTATGACTGTGTGAAGTTTGATTAAAAACCAAGAAAGAATGAAGACGCTAGAGTGCTGACAAAGTTTTTCTATTTATAGTAATAATGATCTTGACCTTGATCCCATGACCTTGAAACTCGAACTTGTTGAAGATATTTTAATTCTTTACATGTGTGTAAAGTTTGATTAAAATCTATGAAAGAATGAAGGCTCTAGAGTGCTGACAAACCTCTTCGGACAGACGGACAGACAGACAGACGGACAGACGGAGGGGAAAACTATAGTCCCCCCGGTTTCACCCGTAGGGGACTAATAACGATAACAAGAATTCTTCTCAGATTGATGATGGAGAGAAAGACCATTAACCAGAATGAAGGGAGATTTGACAAGCCCATCACTAGGTGATGGTGACCATGGGCTGGATATAAACAAGGGAACACTTTTGTTCATAAACGCAATCAAGTGAACACTTTGGTTCATCAACACAATCAAGTGAACACTTTGGTTCATCAACACAATCAAAATGTCATACATTCAGCACATTATCAATATTTTTTCAATGGCAATGAACTGAATGTCATTAATTCTGATGAAGGATTTGTTGAATGACCCTGCCAGTACCACTTCAATAAAGGGAGGTAATTAGATAGCCTCCCTTTACAGTGAGAGGCTTCCAACCAACTCATCTCTGTTATAAACAAACACTATCTTTAAAGGTTCATTTGATTTGTTCAATACAAAACCTAACAACATCATACAACATTTCATTATTATTTTAGGGAAGGGACCAAACAATCAACTTGGGCAAATTTCAGCCTGTTACAGTTTGATGAAAAAGTGTAATTGACTGACTTTGACATGCAAACACACAAAACATTAAAAACAAGGACACATATTATTTTGTAAAGTAAGAGCATTTTAATAAATAAGTTTAAAAGGTAGCATTAAAAAGAAGAACAAGATAAATCTAAGTGCGTCTACAAAACAACCTGGATTTGTTTGTCAACAAAACAACCTGGATTTGTTTGTCAATTTAAGCATCAATACTACTCACAAATAACATAATCACATTCCAAATCTAACCACAGCACATTGAACAAACACTTATTTATCAATCGCAATGTCACACGCATATCATTCTGAAAGACTCCCACTGACAAACACTCATCACAGTTACCTCCCCTTATAATGACCTATTGCTGCAGAGGAGGTAGACAATCTTTGGTGTAAAATTGTATAAGGTATTCAAGCCCATATCATGATCTACTCTTATCACAACTTTTTTTTTAAATCACGAACACAAAAAGGATCTACAGCAACTGACACACATAAAATTTCACAAAAACATTTTGGAGTAATTTTTACACAAATCAGCATAATGTCCCACCATAGAACTGCAGAGGAAAATGAAACTGAACTAGAAATGAGTCTTTAAGACAAAGAAACTCCACTCATACACTAAGGAATGAATCAAGGACACAGAGGCCAAGGTCAAAGGTCAAAGTAACAAACAAACTCAAAGGTCAAGGTAACAAAAAGTCACGCAACATGCTGCACTCATAGAAAAGCATATCATAATAATTCACATGACCATGGCTGTAGTACTGCCCATACCCCACCTGAACGCTATAATACATACTGACAAGGGTAACACTACATGCCAGCACCACGTTGTTGTCGGACATGAACATTAACTGATGGTTGGTAAGTACTCTGTACTAAGTACTATTTGTTAACAGGAAGAAACATGAACACGTTCAAGCAGACATAGTAAAATTGGTCCTACTCAAACTTTACCTCCTTCAATTTAACATTATAACAACAATTTGAAAATATATTTGGTGAATGTATGTTACCCTGTATCATTAAAACACTTGTTCTTTTCAGTAACAGAAAAAGACAAACGTGAAATTACATATATAAACCCACCACCACCACCATATATATGTTTTTTCAAACATATTGTGACCCTGTACATTCCACCTGGTACACTGAGACTACCACGTATATAAAGTGAGGTATTTATTTTGTAACAATCCAACGGCCAACACATAACCTCTGTCTCTAAGTCGGGCTGGGAGTGGACGGCGCTATCACAGGACAATAACTTATCATTTGTTTTGACATTTGTATTGAAACGCTATAGTATGGGTGGGCTTATTACCAGGCATGGGCTTATTACCAGGCGTGGGCTTATTACCAGGCGTGGGTCATAGATGGATGATATGATTATATGCTACCATACATATATCTTTTGGCATTATCTCCCTCAGAAATAGTTAATCATTATGTAATCATATTCTATTTCTACAATTTTACCAATATTTATGTTTGTGTAACTTGCAAATGTGTCCTAAACTATCCATATCATTTGTGTATTATAGTGAGGAAAACATCCTTGTTTTGCATTAATATTCATACTATTGATTACAGAAATTTTCCTATTGATAATTATTGCATATCCAGAAAAAAATTCAAACATCAAAACTTTCCTAGGAAAAAATTTGGTCCTTTTGAAAACACGTTATATCCACATATACCAGTTATCAAATATATATACACACATATACACAAAGTTGTACACAGGTACAGTCAGTGTACATGTAAACAATGTATACCTGGTACAAACCATTCATGTAAACAATGTTTACCTGGTACAAACCATTCATGTTCACATATACCATTCATGTAAACAGTGTATACCTGGTACAAACCATCCATGTAAACAATGTATACCTGGTAAAAACCATTCATGTAAACAATGTTTACCTGGTACAAACCATTCATGCAAACAATGTATACCTGGTACAAGCCATTCATGTAAACAATGTATTCCTGGTACAAACCATTCATGTATACAATGTATACCTGGTACAAACGATTCATCTTCACATATACTTAAGAGGTACAGCCCTGCTGTACCTCTTAAGTATATGTGAACATGAATGGTTTGTACCAGGTAAACATTGTTTACATGAATGGTTTGTGCCAGGTATACATTGTTTACATGTGTGGTTTGTACCAGGTATACATATACTTAAGAGGTACAGCAGGGCTGTACCTCTTAAGTATATGTGAAGATGAATGGTTTGTACCAGGTATTCATTGTTTACATGAATGGTTTGTCCCAGGTATACATTGTTTACATGGATGGTATATGTGAACATGAATGGTTTGTACCAGGCATACATTGTTTACATGAATGGTTTTTACCAGGTATACATTGTTTACATGTACACTGACTGTACCTGTGTACAACTTTGTGTATATATATACACACATATACACAAAGTTGTACACAGGTACAGTCAGTGTACATGTAAACAATCTATACCTGGTACAAACCATTCATGCAAACAATGTATACCTGGTACAACCCATTCATGTTCACATATACCATCCATGTAAACAATGTATACCTGGTAAAAACCATTCATGTTCCCATATACCATTCATGTAAACAGTGTATACCTGGTACAAACCATACATGTAAACAATGTATGCCTGGTACAAACCATTCATGTTCACATATACTTAAGAGGTACAGCCCTGCTGTACCTCTTAAGTATATGTATACCTGGTACAAACCATACATGTAAACAATGTATGCCTGGTACAAACCATTCATGTTCACATATACCATTCATGTAAGCAATGTATACCTGGTACAAACCATTCATGTTCACATATACTTAAGAGGTACAGCCCTGCTGTTTTATGTAGTGCCTAATTGGTGCAAGTTTGTTAAAAATAGTATCAAACCTTTATTCTCCTTGTTCTGTTTTTTTTTCGCTCCAAAAAGAGAATAAACAAAACCTAATTTGTCTTCTGGTTGTCAAGACGAAAAAAAGAAATGAAATGAAATGGCACAAATTAGTTACCTGGATTGTATGAGAGTATTCTAGATGCAAGGCGGTGGGACATTGACATACACTGTATCAACTTATATAGAGTCACACATACACCTGGACCGTGGGGATCTGTGCCACACCCTCATGTACGCACACACCGTGATTTTGTTTTCATATTCATATGTTATTATGTAATCGCTGTAGTCTGGACTATATTAGTTAGGAGAGTCACTTTTTGAGACATCCAAATAAATAACTTTTAAAATGTTGATGCTGAAGTTTGTGGAACTATAGTAAGACTTCTCCTGAATCTTTCTTTGCTACAAGTCCTATATTTATTTTCACTGTATATATAAATGACTCCCTCAAATACGTGTTTTGTTTTAAAAAAAAATAAGAAAAACCAATACAAAATGCTTCGTTCTGATTCAATTTAGAAAGACCCCTTGTAAATATATTGAACATTGTATTTTGTAAACGCTAAATGTGACATGTCCAGGGCATCTTAATTACTTTGGGAATGGGGCCTAAGGCTCTTAAATTAGGTAACAAGGGAAATTGGGGAAAGCGGCAATAATAAGGAAAATCCTGATAGAACATCTATCTAAAGAATTGTTTCTCCGTTGACAAGAATTTCAGCAAACAACAGGCAACAAAAATATACACATGACGACACTGTCTTGATTAATAAACACAATTATTTATCGACCCGCATCTAATTGGGAAGTTTAGAGTTTGGATTGGGAACATGTACAGGTTTTGCCTTAGGAGTGGGGCTGGTATTTGGCCCCAGAAAGGGCATGTTTGTACATGTGACAATCTTACAATTTCACATATAAAAGACTGTCAGTGTTTTTATCTTCACACTGAACAGACACATACATTAAATTCTGCCCTTGATTTTTTTCACCACAATTTTCCTTTTTTAACAAACACTATATTCAATGCTATTTTTAAATACTACACATTGCAGTAGCGTTCAAACAGATCTAAATACCATGCATCTATAACAATATCAAGCAGAGGTGTGTCCATGGCAACCATCTTATTATCTTCAGACTTTCCACTATATCCAAAATTAAGTTGAAAGATTTTACATCATGGGTGAATGAACACATTTGAAATGTCAAGGTTATCAAAAGTTGTTTGGGTACAAGACATGTCCCCAATTTTTATAATTACAATTCTAAATATCTGCGATAAAGGGGACCATGAAATACTAGGGCAGTAAGCCAGAGGTAGTAAATGAAACAAGGGGCGTTTGAATGGAGTTTACAGAACCAAATCAAGCCTACATTGTACAGAACCAAGGTCATCAAGTATACATAAGTATACTTATATATATAAATGTATAGTGTACTAGATCCAGCCTCAAACAATTTATATTGGAATCAATGTTTTATCATAACCATTATATCTGCAAACAAAATATTCTGAGATTCAAAATTACTTCCTCAATATTATTAATTAACACAAAATATTTCTTGAATTTAAACTTTTCAATAAATTTCCAAAAATTTGAATATTTATTAATTACATGTAGTTAATTAATAGGATAGAAGTTAGGGACAGACAAGCATTTTTTCTGGACCAATCTGGGACAATTTAAAAAAGCAACTTGCCACCTGTATAACATTGTTACTCTTGTCTTTTGAAAATTCTATGACCATAATTTACAACAATTTGTTTTTCATATTCTTGAATTTTCAAAAAATCTCGGGGATTCTGATACTACAGTAGTTAAATTTGTTTACCAATGATAAAACGGAAATTAACCACTTTTCTTCTCTGACAAGAAACCCATGGACACACTTCAACATATGCAAAAAAAAATCAGTATAAACAATGAACCTATTAATATCAAAGCCTCTTGCTTCAAACAAGTTTTATTTGATAAAAATATGTACAACCAACAAAAATTATAACAATTGTCATTAAAGTCAAATACAGTACATTAAGTATGTACTATTTCTATTCTTACTGTTCACTGTTTAACAAACTGTTCACAGTAATGGGAGAGATTAACGAACATCTGTATATAATGCCATATAGTAACAGCTCAACTAGAACATTTCTTACTTACATTGTCTGTAGTTTTGATTTTTCACAATGTTGATGTTAAAAAATACATATCTGTAATAAATCAATGTAATGAAACCAAATTTGACATTAATTGAAACGAAGGATATGAACTTACATTACACATGATTTTCAACCGGTGTGTCATTGACAAATCAATCTCAAATAACAGAGGTTCCTTAATTCTGAAATATTGTTAAAACTCTGGTAACAATGTTTCCTATCTTATATTTCACAAAGAGTTCTGAAGAACTTGATATACTGTATGTGTACAAACAGTATGTCTATCGTACAGGGCAATGGTATGATTTGTAGGTTTGAAAAGAGTGTCACAAAATTGATTGACCTGATATTTAACTATTGAAAGTGTTTGACCGGATAAACAATTGGGAACAGGTATATTTTTCATGCAAAATATTAGCAATACTTCACAGTGCATGTGTTAAAACATTTTAACAATGCTTCACAACTCATGTTCTATAAATCTTTTGAATATACGGGTCAAGTATAGTTACATTCCTTAGTTCATTAATTTGTGAATGTTTTCATAAAGGATATAAGCTTCTATCAAAGAAATGCTAAAATCTATTATATATCTCCCACAAGTCATCAGAAACCAAATATATTCAGACAACTACAATATTTTAAAACAATGTTTAAATATCAATATGCTGAAAATCTTGTAAGTATCACAGCTAGCAGTTAATTTCACTGTCTAAAACCATTTCTTTGACTTTGGTGGGATTAGCCTTATCCTCAGTTGAGGACACAGAAATATGTGATATATTAAGAGGCTGTTTGTTATTGTTTGAGGCGCTTCCCGACTGTTCCGAGGCACTGTTCTGACTAGAGTCCACACTTTGTTCTGCCGAAAATGCTTTCAATTCTAGTTGATCCAAACTAGCTTGAATTTCACGTACAGCATTTTTTCGTGCTTGACGGATGTCATTGTTTGATCCGGACTCGATGCCGTCCAACTTCAATAAATTACGAGTAAGCATTTCTTCAAGATATTTATATCCTTTATCAGTCTTTAAACCCCTAAAATCAGCAACTTTTGCTTCGTAGTGTCGAACCTCGGAGACAATATCTGATATGATGTCCATAGGGGTCTTGGGTTTAGGTTTTTCTGGCTGACCATGTCCTCCAGACTGTCCGTTGAGACTATCAGTAGAACCTTTCCTGCCGGACTCGGACTGGCTGACCGTTGGATCAGCATGGTGCTGTGGTAGAGATGAAGTTGTATTGGACTGGCTGACCGTTGGTCCTGCATGATACTGTGACGGAGGAGCAGACGGAACAGAGTTGGGGTAGTCTGGCTGTGGTATCTGTTGTCGTGGGTGTGGTGTGCCCTCGTAATGAGGCTGTTGTTGGTTGTGACCTTGACTTTGGTGGTGTATAGGGATAACCCTTTCAGCTGGTCCCCGGCCGTCACCTTGCGACATTGGTGGGGGTTGTGGGAAGGCTTGTGGGGCGGTGGGTTGCTGACTGTGAGGAGGTGGAGGGAAGCCCTGCTGCATCGGCTGTTGGTAAGATGGTTGGGGTGGTGACTGGTAAGACTGTTGCTGGGGGTAAGGCTGCTGAGGAGGCTGAGAAAAGGGCTGTGGCTGACCAGACGCTTGACTAGTTGGTCCCTGTTGGTAGTTCTGAGAACTAGTTGGTGCTTGTTGAGGTCCCCCAGACACCCCGGTGTATATTGTATAACCTCCCAAATCTGAGTTGGGTCCTTGAGTAGACGTCTCAGGCTGTTGACCTCTATTTCCTGTAGAAGATATATGATGAATAGGGATCTCTCTCACCACGGGAGAAGATCTTCCCTGTTGTGTGTTGAAGTTTCCACTATGCCTTGGTGGTGTGCCCACTCTAGGAGGGGTGGATGTCCTCGGGGGAGTGGCCATGTGTACATCACTGAGGGTGGAGCTAGGATTCTGCCACGGCTGCTGAGGTGGGAAGGGCTGCTGTTGTGAATACGGTTGCTGTGGATACTGTTGCTGAGGATAGGGCTGTGGCATCTGTGAATACTGCTGTGGCATGCCGCTATTTTCATGCTTAATCGGAAGTTCACGTAAACCTCCTCCGTAAGATGGTGGCTGTGGTTGTCTCTGACCCTGGAAATATTAAAATGTATTTCACATCAAAATAAGCTCATTTTATACTTTTCATGCACAATACATGACACTGAAAATTGAATGAACAGACAAGTTATTATTTCCTTTCGATTTCCCCTGCCATATCTTAATGACTCTTTCACAATATTACTTTTAAGACTTTACTGATGCAAATTCCTCAGTCCATGTTGACTCACCCACATGTTGAAGCGTATTTATCATAATGAAACTATTTAAACTCAATTCCAAAACTTGTGGTGTTCACTTGAAGCAGAAATTTTAAATTGTTGTAAAGAAAATATTAATGATGCTGTACTTTTCAAGATTTTTTGATAATAAGATAAATACGCAGTACTGAGTGGAGAGCTGATCATATTTAACACAATTATTTGTTACAAGACAAGAATGATAGATTTCAGAGTTTTGTTCATCAATTTAGTTAATTTCATTACCAACAAAATGTTGATTGTAATAGAGTCTAGCAGGCCCACTGAACTGAACATAATAAACAAACGTTAAAATTGAAGGGTGTCTCAATATGCCTACGATGATAAATATATACAGAAAGAAGGGCAAAAGCCAGACTTATTACAATGTACAAAATTCTTAAAAACAAAGTTGCCATTATTCCAATTGAGCATTTTAAAATATCTGATGACAGAATCGGGGAGCACAGAAACTTCAGCAGATTTCCACTAATAAAGAGCAATACAAAAATGCATTCTTCCCTAGGACTATTAGAACATTGAATTCACTATAGTTACCATAACACATAGCTCAGTCACCTGACTTGAACTCTTTCGAAACAGCTCTGTATGACTACCAACCCAAAACTACCCTATGGTAGAGCCAAATCCTGTCAGAGCTGTACATATTTATATATTCCCTTCCCTAATACTGCAGGTAGATGACTATGACGTATACGTAGGTATTGTCGGTGGGGGTTGCCCAATCACTTGCCTGCACATACCTTCTGCCAGTATAAAACATACTCTCTTTTAACCTACATTTGTTGCCATGTTATATATCATTTTCATTTTCAAAAATCATTATAAAAATGTGTTATGACATAAATGCCACCTCCAAGACCACAGGATTGCAACAATTGCACTCCTACCAGTACATATGAGGTCAGTCGCAGTTATTGGAAGAAGATATCACAATGCATACAACTATTTTGCAATGTAGACAAAATTATTGCAGTATTAAGATTATAATCCTTGTTTTATTGATATATTGTGACATCCCTATTAACTAACTACAGAAATGTATGCTATAAACTACATTTGCGAACAGTAACACAAATTTTAATATTTCTCAAGTTTGTTTACAGTTAACCATTCACCATGCCACTTACAATTGTAATCCATGCTGATGAATGATCATTAGTGAATCTATGTTCTGACCCCAGGATTACCAATGACAATAGGAACAAGTGGAATGCTTTATCAAATTGTAAACAAACGATGACATATTTTCACTAATTTTATTTCCACATGCAGCCATTGAATGGGCAAGTGCAATCTATTTAAGGGTTATTTAAAAGAAAAATACTTTATTTTGCTTAGGTACATCTCTGTGAACAAATATGCCCGATTTCGGAGGTTTTTTTTATCGTCTGACTCAGTGACTCGAGTGTATTGAACAGGTTTGACACTTGCACTTTTGTAGAACTTTTTCGAGTCATACTGTACAACTTATATTTAGAACTTACTGTAGTTAATCAGAAGCAGGAGGTATTAACATAAGTCGCATTACTTTCATTGCATTAAAGCAATTGATATTGTGAAATAAAGCAGACCGAGAAATCGCAGAAAACTTTTGACAGAGTACTCACCATTCGGATACGGGGGTCTTCCCAAGATGTCTGTCTCGTGTTGTGGTCAATAAAATATGGCCATCCTGTCATTTTATCCAATATCATTTCCCAACCTGGCGGTAAATCGGAATTATTCGGCTGTTGAGGCGTGTAAGGGTTGGGGTACATCTGTCGACTCGCCATATTTATACGTATATAACCCTTTTCCTTACTTTTCCAGCCACTTCTCTAACGATCTAGAATCATCGACCGAAGCGACATCTATGTTGTCGAAATTTCCGGAACGTTCTTTTCGGAACATTTCTAGAGTTTTCCTCCACCAAATTAATCAGGTCTCAAGGTTAATAAATGTGAATAAAGGGAAGTAACTCGTATAAAAACTTGTGAGTATTACAGCCGGATCTTTTTTGGTACTCGAGTGTCAGAATGTATCTGTATATGTTTCTTTAGATACCTCATGTGTAAATGAACCGTGTGTAGACGTATTGTGACGTCTTCACACACAGTATAATGCTGAGCTATTAAACTCACCGTTGTCGACGTCATACCATTAGTCTAACGACTAATATTGATGCATCTACAATACGTTACAGTTACGTACAGTCATCCTCGATATCTAGGGCTTACGCTCACTTTCGCTCTCTGCACTCCTGGAAAAATCGAAGGCTCAAGTGTGTACCACCTTGTGGATGAGACGAGAAGACTGTGTTGATCCCTTGATGGACATCAAAAGAATCTCGCGGCCGCATAACGGTAAAACTTTAAATTTTTGGCTTCGAAGTTGGGCATCGCTCCCCTGTAATTTTCAAAGCATAGGTATCAGCACAGTGATTGGTCAGGGTTTTTTCACCTGACACCACTCAAATTGCTAATTGTGTGCCTATAATTTTGCTGTGACATATTCAGACATCGAAAGTGAGCTGGATACCGAGGATGATGTCCAGTTGGATCATTGAAGCATCACACTTTTAGAATGAAATCTCCATGGCAACAGCCAGTTTAGTGGAGAACGAGGAAAATTCGACCCCGGGGTAAGTCAAGCCACCAAAGATGATATTGTTGGTCTTGTGCAAATATTTACATCTTTGAGGATATTTTCAATTCGGTTGACTGCGTGGATCATTTCCACAAAAAAATACGAGAAAAACTTTGCAGAGTAAAAAGTTAATATTATGACCTCACTTCATTCTAGTTTTGCGGATTTTGGTAAACCAAATTGCTACTTATTTCATCCTCATCTCTGCACCCCTGGAATTAGTCCGAATTATTCTGACGTTTTATCGACTTTTTTTCATATCGGTCTGTCGTCGATTAACGTCAGAACTCCGGCCCTCTATAATATGCGGGAAATATGCGACCCGCGCCCGGAGCGCACTTCAAACTGATATTTTAGAAACAAATCGTCACTTTCACACACATGTCGCACAAAGGAGCGACGCCAGACTTCAAAGCCTGTCATTTTTTACCGTTACGCGACCGCAAGATTCTTTTGATATACATCAAAGGACCAAACTTGTCTTCTTGTCTCATCCACAATGTGCTGCACATTGAGTCTTCGATTTTGCTATGCCATATTCCAGGGGTGTAGAGAGCGAAAGTGAGCGCTACCCCTAGATATCGAGAATGTACTTTATGTCATACGTGTAACGTAATGACAGCTTCACATGATGGTTATTTTGGTATGCATGAAAGTCTTACACTAACTTTCGTACTGCAAACATTGTTAAGTGTAAAGTATATCCCTCAGCACTGTATGGGTGTGAATTGTGGCAATTAAAGCAAAATGAAATTTACATGTTAGAAAAAGCACAAAACTTCATTGTCAAATCAATCCAAGGTTTCAATGTAAGAACAAGAACAGATATGTGCACGTCCTTGATTGGTTGTTTTTCTGTAGAAGTATACATCAGCGTAAAGAAATTGTTATTTTTTGGTAGAATATGTTCCATGGAAGTTGGCTGTTTAACACGCGAAATTCTTATCAAGCGTCTATTCGAATTCAACCTGTCTCATTTTAGTAGAGGTTTTGTTCCATACATTGTTAATATTTTACAAAAATACAATTTGTATCATGTTATTGATGATTTTTTGAAGAGTGGTGTATTTCCAAACAAATTTCAATGGAAGCGTTTAGTCAATGAACATGCAAAAAACTATGAACAGTTTAATTTATGTGAAAGAATGAACGCTGATAGGGTCTTCTCTCGCTTCACTCTTTTACATAATAAGATACAACCGTATGCTATATGAAAACATGCTTTACGCTTTCCACAATACAGTCCATGTTTTAAGAAATTACGTGACCAGCTCTGGTGTGTACTCAGTACTGTAAAATATATTGATTTTGTGTTTTATCTTAATGTAATGTCTAATTACCATCTACTTCATGTTCTTCTTGGTGGTATTTTCAACTATGACTTATCTCCATATGAACTGGAGGACTTTAGAATAAAAACCATTGTTAAAATTACTAAAATTCTTCAATACAGTGGTATAATGTAATTTATCCTTAGATATTTGAATGTTGTATACTGAGTAATATGATCACAAAGTTACGTGTGTGTACCTCACGCTTCAGCAAGATGAATACATGAAATACATATAATTTTGTATTCATATTAGTAGGCAAGCATTTCCTACGTCTTTCCTATTATACCATTGCGCAATTGGGCTGCATGATAAGTGTAACTACTACCATTGATAATATTGTTTGTATTGTATGAATTAATCTTGTGATATGTATTACTACAACTGAAATCATTGCATGGTTGCTCTGTTTGTTGTGTATTTCACACCACTGTATGACTATATTGTATGACTTCGTGTAACGGGTTCTACTCAATGTATGATTGTATTGTAAGACTTATGTAACAGTAATACTGTCTATAATAATGCTGTATAATTTATAGTGTGATGCTTGTAATACTGTTTATTACAATGTTGTATGATTGCTTAGTACGAGAAGTGTATTACTGTCTATACTATTATATGATAATGTAGTTTGAGAAGCGTAAATATGTCTATTATATCAATGTGTGATGTAATGTATGATTAGTGTTATATTGTCTATCATCATAATTATCACCGTATAATGACTGTAATAGTACCAATTATATCATTGTGTTGTGTTTATAGTGCTTTATGGTATGATGCGTGTACTATTATTATCCTTATTGTGTGTGTCTGTCCATGTGCATGTGTGAGTCACTATGTAAGGGTGTGACCATGTTTGTGAACGCATTTTCCTCTCTTTGAATAGTGTTGAATTGAACGTGTATTGTTCGTTATTTCTGTAACTCTTCATTTCTGGAGGAAATAAAGGAAATAATAATAATAATACGTGTAACGTAATGACAGCTTCACATAATGGTAATTTTGGTATGCATGGTATACACTGAATTTCGTACTGCTATTTTTTTTATGAATTTATTGAACTATGAGGTAGGGCCAGGTTCGGCTCTAGTACAAATATTAATACCCGGCCTCCTCTGGCCCGGCCGGAATATATAGAAAATATATATATAAAAAATCTCTCGTCGTCAGAAAGCTACGTTATCGCAGCTGGTTCGACTCGTGGTACTGGGACAGGTTCGGTCATACTGTCCAGAACGACTTCAGTCTCCCCTAATTTGTGTCCCTTGAGGGTGTACCTGTACAAAGATATAAGACTAAATTAAACAATCCTAGTACACAGTCACGCCAAGTATTACAGCTACCAGACAAAGATATAAGACTAAATTAAACAATCCTAGTACACAGTCACACCAAGTATAACAGCTACCAGACAAAGATATAAGACTAAATTAAAGTATTACAGCTATCAGACAAAGATATAAGACTAAATTAAACAATCCTGGTACACAGTCACACCACGTATTACAGCTACCAGACAAAGATATAAGACTAAATTAAACAATCCTAGTACACAGTCACACCAAGGATTACAGCTACCAGACAAAGATCTAAGACTAAATTAAACAATCCTAGTACACAGTCACGCCAAATATTACAGCTACCAGACAAAGATCTAAGACTAAATTAAACAATCCTGGTACACAGTCACACCAAGTATTACAGCTACCATACAAAGATATAAGACTAAATTAAACAATCCTGGTACACAGTCACACCAAGTATTACAGCTACCATACAAAGATATAAGACTAAATTAAATAATCCTAGTACACAGTCACGCCAAATATTACAGCTACCAGACAAAGATCTAAGACTAAATTAAACAATCCTGGTACACAGTCACACCAAGTATTACAGCTACCATACAAAGATATAAGACTAAATTAAACAATCCTAGTACACAGTCACGCCAAATATTACAGCTACCAGACAAAGATCTAAGACTAAATTAAACAATCCAAGTACACAGTCAAACCAATTATTACAGCTACCAGACAAGGATATAAGACTAAATTAAACAATCCTAGAACACAGTCACACCAAGTATTACAGCTACCATACAAAGATATAAGACTAAATTAAAGTATTACAGCTATCAGACAAAGATATAAGACTAAATGAAAGTATTACAGCTAACAGACAAAGATATAAGACTAAATGAAAGTATTACAGCTAACAGACAAAGATATAAGACTAAATTAAAGAATTACAGCTATCAGACAAAGATATAAGACTAAATTAAAAAAACCTAGTACACAGTCACGCCAAATATTACAGCTACCAGACAAAGATGTAAGACTAAATTAAAGTATTACAGCTACCAGACAAAGATATAAGACTAAATGAAAGTATTACAGCTAACAGACAAAGATATAAGACTAACTTAAACAATCCTAGTACACATATCGCTCGACTGGCCACCGTCTCTAGAATTTTGAATTATTAAGAAAAAGGTTTAGCTATTTTTTTTGATCACTTGGATGTCTGATTCTAGATCTAAACTAGGGGGAGATAAGCTAGTAGTAAAATGCAGTTGAGAAATTCTTCATAAAAACTTAGGGGATGGTCTAACATATTGCATGTGCGTACAATTTATGATAATGGCGGGGCTGATACGCCGCCTTAGTATAGAGGTGAATATGTAGAACTAGGACAGTGCACAGATCATAGTTTGAGATATAACCAGAGACTGATGTAGTGGTAAGTAGCCTACATATTTTCTTCAAACACAAACAGGAATTAAAAACTTATTTTGCGAGCTTTCGAAAACGTCTGTTTCCTTTGTCAAGCAAAGAGTGCAAATGACCGGTGTCTCGACTCTAAACCGCTGAAAACAACTCGCTAAGCCTTAGTGGGCCGAACCAAGTAAAGTCATCTGTCAATAATGATAAAGACGTGGGTAAACATGCGACCTCACTCCATCTGGATGCCTGCAGTATTAGAGATCAATGGGGCGAAATGTCGCTATCATTTTTGACAGCTGACTTTACTTGATTCGCCAAAAGTGAGGTATTGCCAAGCAAGGCGCTGTTAGAGGGTAGTTAGAAGTAGAAAGACACATCAAGGTCACAAATATTGCAATTCGCGCAGAAGATTTATTTTGGTCGATTTCGTTTCTGCAAATAGAGTACAAAAGCAAAATTCCGAATTCTGCAGGGGGTTCCACCATAAGTCGCCTCTTACGATACATGTAGTAGGTCACAGCAGGTATATTCTTTTCTTTATCCCCGACCCGAATGGTGCCTACGGTTAGGATGAATTCATCTATTATCAATCTCGTGAGTTGTGTTGTTCTCTCCAACAAGTTGTATCATAAAATCGTCAAAATAAGAATCGCGCTAAAAACATTTCCTTATCAATAATCTGAACTATTAACTTTAAACTGAGCTATAAACTGAAATGACCGATCGGCCAGGTGCTCACGTTAATCAATCATTACTCCTATTTCAGAAACAAACATAAACATACAGAGGGCGCTGTGGTGGGACGATCCACCATATAGATGGATAGTGACGGCATTGAAATATTTCTGAACTGCAGGCGAAATCATCGAAAATCTGGTTTCTCAATAATAGAATAGGAATGTTTTTCACAAGTGGAAACAGGCATTTAGAAGCAAATCTTTCTACATAAAACTATCGTGACCGCGGTCCGGCTGAATTGTTATGATATTGTTTACAGGCGAACATTTATCGGCCGCAAAGCTCCAAACACAGATCTATACGACATGGACTCTTAAGTCGTACGTAAAGCTCCACTTCCAAAAGGCTGCACGCCCTCTGGTGTTGAACTTTGGAAGTTGTAGCTGACCCCATTTTATGGATAAAATCAAGGACATCAAGACTATCATAAACGATTTTAATGCTGTCGCTGATTTCGTGACAATTTATATTAAGGAGGCTCATCCTGTGGAAGAATGGCCAGTGTTTGGACATCGTTTCCAGGTCATAACGAAACACAAGACATTAGAGGACAGAATTGACGCTGCGTACCTCCTCCGAAACTTTGACATCGGGTGTCCAGTACTGGTTGATCCCATGGATAACCAGAATTGCCTCCAATATGCAGCGTTCCCAGAACGCCTGTATATCCTATACGATCACACCATCATGTATTTTGGATCTGTGGGACCGTTCAATTATAAAACTCGTGACGTAAGGAAATGGCTTCAACGCTTCAGGAATGAAAGAAATGGATTTTAAGTCACCAGACGTGAAGTGTCTTTAAGCTACTGGCTGGTATGACAACCGTTGTCCGTCGTCCTGTGTTCTTTCAGCAACAATCGCAGCCTAGGGTTATGATGTTTGGCGCAAATTTCCATTAATGACATACTTTTATGACCAACATGCAAAATTACAAAGAATTTGTCAAAAAATCAAACGACTGCCTCTCAAGGACCGCAAAATAAACAAGTCCTGACCTTACTGTATCTTGCTGGGTAGGGTTATCCAAAATAGTAACATTACATTGAAAACTAACTATCCAGCAACCTTCTCTGAGAACCTTTACTTCCTAGAGTCATCTTATGCAGTGTGGTTAGAAATCACACGAAAGATTTGACATCACAGATACGATGTGTTGTAATACAATCGAAAAAAACTATTTTTAACGAAAAAATAATGCATTATTCCTTTAAGTTTAGCTTTTAAAAAATCACAGCTCTTCATCTGGCATTAACCATGTTAAACAAGCTGTCTGATAAAGTAAAACTTGGGAATCCGTTATTAGGAACATTTTTTCCTGGTGGTCAAAGATACTCAAACGTATGCGGTTATACTTGTAACAGCCAAGGAATAAGACGGGGACTGTCTGTCTTCCTCACAAACTTTCATTTACAGCAATACAGTATAACCATGGGACACGTAGGTAGGAAAGCGAAGATGTCCATCTGCACATTTGTCAGGTAGGAAAGCGAAGATGTCCACCTGTACATTTGTCAGGTAGGAAAGCGAAGATGTCCACCTGTACATTTGTCAGATAGGAAAGCGAAGATGTCCACCTGTACATTTGTCAGGTATGAATGCGAAGATGTCCATCTGTACATTTGTCAGATAGGAAAGCAAAGATGTCCATCTGTACATTTGTCAGGTAGGAAAGCGAAGATGTCCACCTGTACATTCTTGAATAGCACTAGTTAAAACAGAGGCAGATGATGGTTTAGAATGATACCCTATTTATCATTTATCCAGGTAGCAAGCTTTCTTCTGTGTCCAAAATTAATATGAGCCAAGGATGTTTGAAGATTTCTGACCATTTCATATAGGAATAGCACAAGTTGAAATAACGTTTGATGGTTTCTCCTGGTAGCTGTATATCATGGTTTCTCCTGGTAGCTATATATGATGGTTTCTCCTGGTAGCTATATATGATGGTTTCTCCTGATAGCTATATATGATGGTTTCTCCTGGTAGCTGTATATGATGGTTTCTCCTGGTAGCTATATATGATGGTTTCTCCTGGTAGCTATATATGATGGTTTCTCCTGGTAGCTATATATGATGGTTTCTCCTGGTAGCTATATATGATGGTTTCTCCTGGTAGCTATATATGATGGTTTCTCCTGGTAGCTATATATGATGGTTTCTCCTGGTAGCTATATATGATGGTTTCTCCTGGTAGCTATATATGATGGTTTCTCCTGGTAGCTATATATGATGGTTTCTCCTGGTAGCTATATATGATGGTTTCTCCTGGTAGCTATATATGATGGTTTCTCCTGGTAGCTATATATGATGGTTTCTCCTGGTAGCTATATATGATGGTTTCTCCTGGTAGCTATATATGATGGTTTCTCCTGGTAGCTATATATGATGGTTTCTCCTGGTAGCTATATATGATGGTTTCTCCTGGTAGCTATATATGATGGTTTCTCCTGGTAGCTATATATGATGGTTTTTCCTGGTAGCTATATATGATGGTTTCTCCTGGTAGCTTTATATATGATGGTTTCTCCTGGTAGGTGTTTATGATGGTTTCTCCTGGTAGCTATATATGATGGTTTCTCCTGGTAGCTGTATATGATGGTTTTTCCTGGTAGCTATATATGATGTTTTCTCCTGGTAGCTATATATGATGGTTTCTCCTGGTAGCTGTTTATGATGGTTTCTCCTGGTAGCTATATATGATGGTTTCTCCTGGTAGGTGTTTATGATGGTTTCTCATGGTAGCTATATATGATGGTTTTTCCTGGTAGCTATATATGATGGTTTCCCCTGGTAGCTGTATATGATGGTTTCTCCTGGTAGCTGTTTATGATGGATTGTCCTGGTAGCTATATATGATGGTATCTCCTGGTAGCTATATATGATGGCTTCTCCTGGTAGGTGTATATGATTGTTTCTCCTGGTAGGTGTTTACGATGGTTTCTCCTGGTAGCTATATGTGATGGTTTCTCCTGGTAGGTGTTTATGATGGTTTCTCCTGGTAGCTGTTTATGATGGTTTCTCCTGGTAGCTGTTTATGACGGCTTCTCCTGGTAGCTATATATGCTGGTTTCTCCTGGTAGCTATATATGATTGTTTCTCCTGGTAGCTGTATATGATGGTTTTTCCTGGTAGCTATATATGATGGTATCTCCTGGTAGCTATATATGATCGTTTCTCCTGGTAGGTGTATATGATTGTTTCTCCTGGTAGGTGTTTATGATGGTTTCTCCTGGTAGCCATATATGATGGTTTCTCCTGGTAGCTGTTTATGATGGTTTCTCCTGGTAGCTGTTTATGATGGATTGTCCTGGTAGCTATATATGATGGTTACTCCTGGTAGCTATATATGATGGTTTCTCCTGGTAGCTGTATATGCTGGTTTCTCCTTGTAGCTGTATATGATGGTTTCTCCTGATAGCTATATATGATGGTTTCTCCTGGTAGCTATATATGCTGGTTTCTCCTGGTAGCTATATATGATGGTTTCTCCTGGTAGGTGTATATGATGGTTTCTCCTGGTAGCTGTATATGATGGTTTCTCCTGGTAGCTGTATATGATGGCTTCTCCTGGTAGCTATATATGATGGCTTCTCCTGGTAGGTGTATATGATGGTTTCTCCTGGTAACTATATATGATGGTTTCTCCTGGTAGCAATATATGATGGTTTCTCCTGGTAGCTATATATGATGGTTTCAAATAAATAAATGCCTACAACATACTTTGCAATTATAATCCTTATAATCGAACATTGCAGGAAAATTATGTAATATGGTGATTCCAAGAAAATGGTAATTCCGGAACTGCTTTGTCGTGATCGGCTCCTTGTTTATATCGCTTGGAAGAGATCCGGACAAACTTCAGCAGAAAAATCCCACAGCAGAACCGAATGTGTTTTGGTTTTGTTTCGTGGTAAGTATAGTAGACATGATTTAATCTGGACATCTAATCAATGAGGTTAATGTAAAGCTATGTTTTGAGCGATTTCTGTACATCATCGATGTCCTCTTTTTGGTGATCTTGTCTGTCGGCATCGACCACAGCGCAATCATTAATAACCCAATAATTCCGTGCCCCTGTGCATAGCGACCTGTCATACCACGGAATGCTTCCTAAGTCCGTGGTCATACCTAGGAAAAGAGGCTCCAATAAATATTTTGGTTATTTCTAACAATCGTGATGAATTTTGGTAATTGAGGGGAAATTATTATGAATTTAGAGAAAATATATTTTTGTTCTCTCAAGAATTAGATAGGCCTATCGGTATCGTTATGGTCATAAGGATCTGTTTCTGTGCTGCACCTGTTTCTGTGTCATGATGTTTTGTGTGTCACTGCGCGTTATTGAAGTCATCGTTTTTTGGTTGGTGAAGTAAACACTTAGGTTATCCACGGACTTTGATAGCATCTAATGAATCTTAATTCCTAAGTTTATCTGTAAGGATGAATAAATGAAGAGAAAACTTGTAAAGTCATACTATTTTTATTTTAAGTAAGTCATGTGCTCTACAGGTAATTAATCTGGCTGTTTTACAGGCAATGCCAAATAGTGTTTTAATTTCTGTTAATTTCCGTCTTTTTTATAGTAAATGTAAATATATCCCATGCCAAACATTTATTGTTGCAAACATAAAAATGTTTTTGTAAACATAGTCTCCGATCTAAATCTTTTTGGAGTGTATTGGCTTCACATTTATTTACATACATATACAATGTGCGCTATAAACAGGGTTTTTGCCAGGGTGTCTATAGGGTCCGATACGTATACAGGGACCCATTCCCAATTACAAAATGACCCTGCAATTTGCCCAATGTCAGTCTTTATATTCCTAATTGGATTAAAAAGCATGTTTAATACAAGTTTCCAGTTGTTATGTTTGCAAAGTTAAAAGCATTACTGTCCAGGAAGGAGCATAATCAAAATACATTATCAAAAACACTGAAAATTGATGTGTTTATAAAGAAACAGCTAGAGGAAAACGTTTTTGCTTATCACATTGCAGGTTTTATTTTTTTCCAAACTTATGATTTCCCAAACCTGTACATGTGGAAACACTGATGACATGCCCGAATTTTGCCAAATGCTGATGATATTTTCCCTATTCCTGCTCAGGTGCCCTATCCCAAAATAGCTGGCAAAAACCCTGATAAATAATTTAATATGGCACATAGACTGGTCATGTTATGGCGTTGTTTAATGACGATGACAGGATTGAATTAGTTGCCATTGTAGAGTTAACATTAAGGAACGATGAAATTAATGATTTGTTGATAAACAACATCAAAACACATTGTTTTGTAATTTTGCTACAACCCTTATTGGACAAATTTAACTTTAATGACTCAAAAAACTGGTCACCTTATGTTAACTTATATGATAGAGGAATCCGTTTTAGAGTATATTGTGTATCAAGAGTGGCCATTATATAGAGCTGTATTATACAGTAAAACATTGTCACCTTCTGTCCTCTGATTTTGGCGGTATAACGAGATTGGCGATATATCAGAATTACCGTTTTGAACCCAAGTATTCACACACCAACTGAACTTATACTTTAAAAAAATAATAATAAACTTCAGAATACGTTTTTTTTCAAAATTTTAATTCAATGTATAAAATTATTGAGCATGCAAAACATACAGCTGATTACCTGGTCAGTCGGCAGTCACGTGTAACAATACAATGTACACACGTACGTAACATTCCTGTCATCGAGAAATACCTGTACTCGACTCAAATTGGCTGTATTTAAAGAGGTCAAAATAGTGTGATTTTAACCATTTGTTTTGGGAATATGATGGCAGTATGCAGGTTTGGGGTTACAGCGGGTGCATTAACGTTGGGGAAATCCGTTCTGAGTAAATTAATGGCGGTATGCGGGTTTGGCGGTTTAACAAGTGGCATTAAAACGGGGTTTTACTGTACTACAACGGTAAAACCTGGGGTCAGCTTATGTTATGGTGCGGAGTCCATCGTCCGTCCGTCCGGCGTCTGTCTGTCCGGCGTCAACTTTTTGCTTTAAACAACTTCTTTTTGGTAACCAAAAGGCCTAGGAAGATGATATTTGGCCAGTAGCATGCTGGGATCAAGGGCTACCAAGTTTGTTCAAATAAATGACCTTGATCCACTTTCAAGGTCAAAGGGGTCAAATATGTTGAAATCTTCAAACAACTTCTTCTCAATAAACAAAAGGCCCAGGGTACTGATATTGGGCCTGTATCATGCTGGGATGAAGGGCTACCAAGTTTGTTCAAATAAATGACCTTGGCCTACTTTCAAGGTCACAGGGGTCAAATGTAAAATCTTCATTCAACTTCTTCTCAATAACCAAAAGGCCCAGGGTACTGATATTGGGCCTGTATCATGCTGGGATGAAGGGCTACCAAGTTTGTTCAAATGAATGACCTTGACCAACTTTCAAAGGTCAAAGGGGTCAAATGTCATAAAATCTTCAAACGACTTCTTCTCAATAACCAAAAGGCCCAGGGTACTGAAATTCGGCCTGTAGCATGCTGGGATGAAGGATTACCAAGTTAGTTCAAATGAATGACCTTGACCAACTTTCAAAGGTCAAAGGGGTCAAATGTCATAAAATCTTCAAACGACTTCTTCTCAATAACCAAAAGGCCCAGGGTACTGATATTGGGCCTGTAGCATGCTTGGGTGAAGGGCTACCAAGTTTGTTCAAATGAATGACCTTGACCAACTTTCAAAGGTCAAAGGGGTCAAATGTCATAAAATCTTCAAACGACTTCTTCTCAATAACCAAAAGGCCCAGGGTACTGAAATTCGGCCTGTAGCATGCTGGGATGAAGGATTACCAAGTTAGTTCAAATGAATGACCTTGACCAACTTTCAAGGTCACAGGGGTCAAATATGTTAAAATCTTCAAACAACTTCTTCTCAATAACCAAAAAGCCCAGGGTACGGATATTGGGCCTGTAGCATGCTGGGATGAAGGACTACCTGTTAGTTCAAATGAATGACCTTGATCCACTTTCAACCTAATGTCCTTGTTCGACAATCAAGGTCAGAGGCGTCATATGTTTAAATCTTTTAATAGGTTCTTATGAAATCTTAAGATTACAAGTATTAGATTAATAACAGGTGAGCGATGCAGGCCCATTGGGCCTCTTGTTTAACCTGTGCACAACTATTTGTCTGTTTACTAACAAAAATTATTGGAAGTTCGCCTGGAAAACTTTATTATTTACTCATTTAGTAACACATATAACGGCATAAATATGCGGTTTTCTTATATACATGTACTTTTGATTTTGCTATTTTGGAGTCTTTACCTGATTTTCACTCCTGATCCTGTTTGTGTTGTCCTCTGTCAATGCCATAATGTTATCGTCTGCAATGAGGCAACACATGACCTCCCCGCCAACTTTCATCCCCTGCTAAAGCCTGGAGGAGATCCTTGTATCAGTGAAAATTAATTCCTGAGAAAAGTATGCTGACTTACACAATAAATTTCGAGTGAAGCTTGGCTATAATCTTCAAATAGTTAAGTCAAGATCGATCAGAAAAATTAGACAGAGTGGTCCTGATCATCTTGTATGGTAGAAAAAGCATCATGTCTTCAAACAGAAAATGGTAACACTGTCTGAACAGGAAAAGTTATATATCATTATTTATTTATTTATTTGTTTATTTATTTTTTGTTACTCAAAACATTGTTTGTATAAATTTGATGATATATCATAATCTTATTTCGTTTATCTTCATAAATTACGGATCCAAGATACACAGGATCTTTAGAAATTGACAAAAACCTTGACTAAGTTTGAATTTCCAAGTAAATTTCAATTATGCTCAATAACTAAAGAATTAAATAACTGAAAAATGCACTTAAACCCCATTTTGGTGTCAAAATAAACTGGAAAAATGCAAGGGACCCATTATTTTCTTTAGGCTATCTAAAGTTCCTATCCAAATACCATTTTTGTTTAAATTCTGTTAGAATCAGTCAGAAAATAGGTCTGGTTTTTGTTTTTCTTCAGAAAAATAACAGACAGCCATGACTGACTCCAGCTTTAGATGTGAGGCGTGTGGTATCACTCTGAACAGTATTGATCAGTACACGCAGCACACAAGTGGCAGAAAACATCTTAATAAGGTGCGACCATCATCAGGTAGGGCATGCAGATTGAAGTACATGCAATGTATATTGGGACACGTGTTGATACGATGTGTTTATTAACGTAAGATCAAACCAGGAGAAACAGATCTAAAGTGTTCGATAATTTTTACAAATAGCGATAAGATGAAATTGAAGTGAAAGGCAATAAATGCTCATTGGCTACAATTGTATGCTGAAAAACTCATGTTTAATTTTTGCTTAATAACTTTAACTGTTCAAAGAAGAAAACTTCCAATCAGCCAATTTTATGAGAAATACCATTTTTTTATGATTATGATCAGAAATATAAACTAAATTTAAATGAAAATTATATTCATGAAATGTTCACTTGATACTTCTATCTTCCTTTCTTTTTTTTACATACAACATAAGAAGGCGAATCTTCAAGTGACCAACAATCAGGAGAGGAGGCAAATGCGGATCCATTTCGTAAAGTTATTTTTACAACTGCCGAATCCTTAAGTTCTTTGCCCCCGATTGATCTTCCACCTCCGCCCCCTCCCCCGCCCACCAAGAAGAGGAAGGCGGAGGTAATGATGGAGGGGTGTGAGATGTGTCAGGTTTATTACAACTCACCCAATCAAAAGGAGGTACACCTCACCGGAAAGAAACACCAGAAAAAATTGAAGACAATGACAGGTATACTACCTGGTTGACACGTAACTAATACTGTAGAATGGGAAATATTTCGCCATTTTTTTTTACTTCTGCGCTTTTTGTCCTCCATGATCAGAACAAATTTATCATTACAGTGAATGATAGTAAACAACATCAATAAAATAGCAATTCAATGGGAAGGGCGACAATAAAACTGGGTGGACATATCACCAAAGGGCGACAATAAAACTGGGTGGACACATCACCAAAGGGCGACAATAAAACTGGGTGGACACATATCACCAAAGGGCGAGAGTTTCTCGGTATACAGTTTGTTTTTGGGGCACTATTTTCTCGCCGATTTTCCCATTATACCAACTGGTGCATAATAAAATATCAACACCCTTCAGATTGATGCATGTACAGTTCAAATACTTTGCTATTATGCACAGTAGCGATTTTGATGATGTTTGAATGAAAGTGCTTACATCGACAGTCTTAATATATTCATATGTTAATACAGTAGTGTACTTACATGTAAAACTGCCAAGAAAATTATGCTTTACCTTTCTGGATGAATATCGTGGTTCATGATACATTTTAAAAACAGTTTTACCAAATTAATTAACTGCTAAATTTGCAGGAACAAGGTCTAAGGTTTCCAATTTTGGTTTGACAGATTAATTTGAAATTAATCAGGAATTACTATTGAAATTTGAATTTGATATCAGGATATTGTTGGTACCTGATTACTTTATTATTATTAGAAAGGAAATATTCAAAAAATTCTTGGATTTGAAAACAATCGTATCAGTATTTCCTTGTGGCTTCCATACCACCTCTAGCAATTGCTAGAGTAAGTCGGTTTATTTAGCATACTTAATACACAAATCTTAGTACCTGAACTGGAGTGAAAGTATTAAAAAGATTAAGTGAACTACATGTACATTTATAGACCAAAATTAAAGATTTTATGAATGAATCTGGAGCAGAATATAGTCTAGCAGCTGACAACAAGTACAGATTGATCTAGGTCTATCTGACCATGTTGGATCGTAAGGCATCATGCAGGGTTTTCATTAAGAACAGGCAGCATGCCAAAATCACTGGTTCACTTCTGATTTTGTCCTGTTCAAATCACCCTTTTCTTATATACTTCATCTATATAATTTAATTTTACAATATAATTTTGGCCCGTTAAAAATGCCATTTAGTCTGTTCAAATAGAAGTTGATGAAAAGCCTGGGCCTGACTGGTGTTCAGAGGGTATATTGACTGTAAAAGCCTGGGCCTGGCTGGTGTTCAGAGGGAATTTTTTGACTGTAAAAGCCTGGGCCTGACTGGTGTTCAGAGGGTATATTGACTGTAAAAGCCTGGGCCATTGACTGTAGGTTTAATAAAATGAACAACTAAAAGAATATTGTTTCACTATCAATAAAGATAAAGCCGTGTCAGTTATGAATATCTTAACTTAACAATCTTCTTTTGTAGAACCGCATCACTTTGACATTAAATAGGCTCACTTCTAGGCTATCATAGCTGTTAAAAAAACAAAGTAAAAAAACAACAACATGTTTATGTCATGTTCCGCTTAGTATCATGTTTTCATCTGACAAACGAGAAGTGATAATAAGTGGATTTTATTGTACAATGTTTGTGGTTGTAGATATCTCCCCCTCAGACCCTCTAGGTCTGTCGCTAGACTCGGCTTCCAACCTGGGGTTATGTGAGCTGTGCCATGTCTCTTATTCTTCTGTAACAATCCGTGATCAACATCTTAACGGAGCGAAGCATCGAAAGAAGGTGCAGCTGTCACAGTCCCCTAACCCCGACCAGGAGATGTGTACAATATGTAACGTCAAGTATACCTCGCCTTCCAACAAACTTCTCCACATACAGGTACGTGTACTGGCCTTCACTTCTGTCAAACTTCTCCACATACAGGTACGTGTACCAGCCTTCACTTCTGTCTAAATTCTCCACATACAGGTAGGTGTATCAGCCTTCACTTCTGTCTAACTTCTCCACATACAGGTATGTGTATCAGCCTTCACTTCTGTCTAACTTCTCCACATACAGGTACGTGTACCGGCCTTCACTTCTGTCAAACTTCTCCACATACAGGTTCGTGTACCGGCCTTCACTTCTGTCTAACTTCTCCACATACAGGTAGGTGTACCAGCCTTCACTTCTGTCAAACTTCTCCACATACAGGTACGTGTACCGGCCTTCACTTCTGTCTAACTTCTCCACATACAGGTATGTGTACCAGCCTTCACTTCTGTCAAACTTCTCCACATACAGGCACGTGTACCGGCCTTCACTTCTGTCTAACTTCTCCACATACAGGTATGTATACCAGCCTTCACATCTGTCTAACTTCTCCACTTTCATGTCGGAGATATATAATATTGTCGCTCCATATTGAAATGTGATAAAATCAGGCTGAATATTTTCACTTGAGGATCCCTGTTCCACTGCACTTTGGCTTTTCCTAAATACATTAACCTCCCCTTAATTTCATTTTTGTATAACTGTAGTATAGGTGCATGTGAGTAAGGGAACTTCTGTTGACCGGGTAGCTGAGTCTATTAGAGAGACATTATACCAATGCGAAGTCCAATGTTCGAATCCTGGCCTAGCCAGGCTGATTATTCATATTATTTTTAGGTCACCTGAGCTTTGCTCAAGTGACCTATTCCAATCACTTTCCGTCCGTCGTCCGTCGTCCGTCGTGCGCNTAAGTTTTGAAAACATAGTTTCAATTTTTGGCATTGGTACGTGAATCCATAAAGCATTACCAATGAGAGATACGGTGTTACCTCCCCTTGTCATATGTGACTGTTACCTCCCCTTGTCATATGTGACTGTTACCTCCCCTTGTCAGATGTGACTGTTACCTCCCCTTGTCAGATGTGACTGTTACCTCCCCTTGTCAGATGTGACTGTTACCTCCCCTTGTCAGATGTGACATCGTGTAACAGGAGTATTGCAGGCCTGAGGCTGACACAGTAAACACCTGTCTCATGTAACATCCAGTGACACCTATTGTCAAATTTCCAGGGGGGAGATTCATCGTTGAAAATAATCAAAAGCTGTGTATAGGTAAAAAAAACTCTGTAGAAAGTGATCTTTTTAGTTGTTCTTTCAGTTGAAATCTTTAGCCTGTTTTCTGAAATTGTTCAATTTTTGGGTCCAAACTCAAGAGTCTCCCTCTAAAATAGAAAGATAGCTAGAACAGCTATGTATGAATTATTGAAATGTAACAAGAAGAAACTACGTTTATAGTATATTGAATTATTTCTTTGATGGCTAAAAGTCTTCACTGGCTGAAGGTCATACATTTTATAGGTCATACCTTTCAATTATATCAGGATTGCCTCCCTTGGCCTGTATTTCAAACCTTGCATTTGCATAGCAAATATAAACCAGCTTTCACATAATGCCAATCATATTTGAATACCTTTAGTGTTCAGAAACTGTTTGTTGGTGTCCGTCGGAGCGTAGCATGCTTGATAAGGCCGGTGAAGGCTCACATAGATACAAACTCCAAACAAACTCACCCTTTCACTTTAGCCTTTGTTTTTATGTTTATATATTTTTATCAGATTGATCAATTTATTGTGTGGAAACCATCAACTAATCAGAGCCCAGATGCTACACTGATGTAATTTATTAGTTGCAGATCTTGCTCAGGTCCCTTCATAGTTTTAGTTATACGTAATGTACCCAGCAACTTATAGTGGCGTTGTTAGTAGGGCTGTCACAATATATCGGAAAGCAGGTATATCGCAATACACGGGTATATCGTATTGTACCACAATACAGAGATGATATATTGCTGTATCACAATACTTTTTTCAAAAGCTTATTTTATGTATCTCATTCTGCTTGGTGTTTTAACTTTGCAAATTACTACAAATTCTAACAGATAGCATATCTGTTAATCGACGACAGACCGGTATAAAAAGAAAAAGTGGATCAAACGTCACAATAATTCGGACTACATTGTATGGTAACATCAAGTTCTACACCTTAACAGATTTTGTTGGTCGTTGGGCGATGTGAAAGGGTCCACTTTGTTTGAGCGAGGTATATTGTTTGAGCGGGGTATATTGTTTGAGCGGGGTGCGGGGTATATTGTTTGAGCGGGGTATATTGTTTGAGCGGGGTGTGGGGTATATTGTTTGAGCAGGGTATATTATTTGAGCGGGGTATATCTATGTGAGCCTCCACTTTAACTGGTTATATATTTTTTACATGATAATCTAGTTTCAGCAAAATCAAATGATATTGAAGCAATTTACCTTGCAAAATCTAAAGTGTGTTGAAATGGATTGATAGACAGACTGACACTTCCTATACATAATATGTCATGTCAAATGTTTTTGATGGTGTATAAGAGTTACTAAAAACTGAAGCCAAAGAAAGTACAATTGTTTTGTTTAAGGCTTCCTTACACAGTACCCTAGGTAAAGGCTGTAAATCTGAAACATAGTCCATCATTACATGCATGACATGAATTAATAAAAAAAATGTTGTATGTTGGTTATGCAGAATCTGATAGCCATTTGTCTTCTTCTAAACTAAGTTATGGTTTAGTTTGGATATATTATACGTTTATTTCCCAATATTTTGTGGATATATTTTTGGAATGTATTGTCATGTTACATGTATTATTATTGTAACTGATACCCCCTCTCCACACAGGGTCATGTTACATGTATTATTATTGTAAATGATACCCCCTCTCCACACAGGGTCATGTTACATGTATTATTATTGTAAATGATACCCCCTCTCCACACAGGGTCATGTTACATGTATTATTATTGTAAATGATACCCCCTCTCCACACAGGGTCATGTTACATGTATTATTATTGTAAATGATACCCCCTCTCCACACAGGGTCATGTTACATGTATTATTATTGTAAATGATACCCCCTCTCCACACAGGGTCATGTTACATGTATTATTATTGTAAATGATACCCCCTCTCCACACAGGGTCATGTTACATGTATTATTATTGTAAATGATACCCCCTCTCCACACAGGGTCATGTTACATGTATTATTATTGTAAATGATACCCCCTCTCCACACAGGGTCATGTTACATGTATTATTATTGTAAATGATACCCCCTCTCCACACAGGGTCATGTTACATGTATTATTATTGTAAATGATACCCCCTCTCCACACAGGGTCATGTTACATGTATTATTATTGTAAATGATACCCCCTCTCCACACAGGGTCATGTTACATGTATTATTATTGTAAATGATACCCCCTCTCCACACAGGGTCATGTTACATGTATTATTATTGTAAATGATACCCCCTCTCCACACAGGGTCATGTTACATGTATTATTATTGTAAATGATACCCCCTCTCCACACAGGGTCATGTTACATGTATTATTATTGTAAATGATACCCCCTCTCCACACAGGGTCATGTTACATGTATTATTATTGTAAATGATACCCCCTCTCCACACAGGGTCATGTTACATGTATTATTATTGTAAATGATACCCCCTCTCCACACAGGGTCGCAAACACCAGAGGAGTGTCCAGTCTCACAGCACACCAGAAACAGGTAAATCTCCCGGAATGTCTTCTCATTGGTTTGCAAACTCACAAGATGTGTTGTTAACTACATCTTCTTTAACCTGTTCACCCCTATGTAACTTGAGTAGACTCTACCATTCATTGATATGGATAAGTCCATTATGGTCTTCAGTGGTGAAAGGTTAATTATAAGTAAAAGAAAGAAATGTAATGCTTAAGGATGATATTTTGAAAATTTGTCAGTTACAAAAGTGCATACCCGGTAAACAGAACCAAAGGTTGTTCTGTATACACTTACTGCTACTTCTACTGCATGCTACTATTCAAAGTAATCATTTTGTAGCCAAGAAAATATGGTTACAGTTGTATTTTTTCTTTTAAAGTGCCACAGTGTTATAAATTGTCAGTAATAAAAACTGAGCTTGTAGCAATTAAAAATTTGAATAAATTCTCCACTTCCCTGTCTGGCAAAGAACCCATGTGGAAATTTGTTTAAAAGTAAATAATTCAATTAAATTCACTTTATTCAGTGTTTTCAGGATTACTGGAGAATGCCTCATAAATTCTCAATTTACTCTGTGAGCAAAGTGAAAATCAAAATTACGATTCTGATTCCAGCGCCGGTGAAGCATGCCACATGTTTTCGGTGTATGTTTTGTCATATCACCGTTAACTCCCTGGACCAGCTGGAGATACACAGACAAGGTAATGTCGCTATTGTTTACACTACAGTCCAGGTCAAATACGTCTCTCTTAAATAAAAAATAAAATGGACGTTTGAGCTACAGATCTTGTAGCTTCATGTACCGTAAAGCTGTAGTGTCGGAGGTTACAGCAGTAGGTCAAGGGAGACAACTTCTTTAATATAAACAATTCAAAACTCACATAACCAGTTTTTGGCTATTAATTTGTAAATATAGTCTTTAGGGGAATCCTGTACACTTCTACCATTAATAATCAGTGGTGTGATTGATAATTTTCAGTATTTTTGTATGTTTCGCAATCTTTAAGCATCAAAAACATGTTTGTTCAGCATGGTTGGTTTTCTTAGCTAATCTGTACTATTTAAAACCTGAATATATACATGGCATTACTCTAATTAACCTCTTATCTATAAAATGATATAACAGGGAAAGGTTTTATATAATATAATATGTGATTTTTTTCTATGACAGGCAGCAAACATAAAACAATTATACAGAAAATGAAGGAACAGCAGCAAGGTTGTGTTATAGACGATCTGTCTGTTGTCGTGTCGTCAGAGGAGGTGAACAGCTGCAAGGTTGTGTTATAGACGATCGGTCTGTTGTCGTGTCGTCAGAGGAGGTGACCAGCAGCAAGGTTGTGTTATAGACGATCGGTCTGTTGTCGTGTCGTCAGAGGAGGCGAACAGCAGCAAGGTTGTGTTATATACGATCTGTCTGTTGTCGTGTCGTCAGAGGAGGGAAAAGCAGCAAGGGTGGGTTATAGACGATCTGTCTGTTGTCGTGTCATCAGAGGAGGTGAACAGCAGCAAGGGTGGGTTATAGACGATCTGTCTGTTGTCGTGTCGTCAGCGGAGGGGAACAGCAGCAAGGTTGGGTTATAGACGATCTGGCTGTTGTCGTGTCGTCAGAGGAGGTGACCAGCAGCAAGGTTGTGTTATAGACGATCGGTCTGTTGTCGTGTCGTCAGAGGATTGAACAGCAGCAAGGGTGTGTTATAGACGATCTGTCTGTTGTCGTGTCATCAGAGGAGGTGAACAGCAGCAAGGTTGGGTTATAGACGATCTGGCTGTTGTCGTGTCGTCAGAGGAGGTGACCAGCAGCAAGGTTGTGTTATAGACGATCTGTCTGTTGTCGTGTCGTCAGAGGAGATCAAATAACTAACTAAAGATTATCTATATAATCGTTACATAGACTTGTACAGTCTAATACGCTGTACATCTACTACAGTCATCAGTTGTACTGCCTCGTGATATGTGATAATCGTCAGGGCTACAGAAGTCGGAGTTAACTATGGTACCTCCTGATAGTCTGTCATCATTATAACATGATGACATGGACTGCTGCAGTGAGAGCTATCCCCTACAGCCAAGGATTGTACTTCCTGATAATCTGTAGTCATCGTCATTACATAGACTACTGTTGACAGAGACTTCTTTAACTGTCATCGGTTGTAATCATCGTCATTACATAAACGTCTGCAGTGAAAGATATCCCCCACAGTCATCAATCGTACTGCCAGATACATCCGTAAGTTTGAAATAGAAAAGAAAGGTACATTTTGGAAGTAACCAGTGCCGACTTTTCGTTGAGTAACAGTGTTTTGAGAATGGCACTGTAGATACATGAAGAGTGTTTGGATATCTGTGTTTGATGGATTATGTCAATGATTATTCTATCACATAAAAAAAAATCTTCATGTTAAGACCCAAAGGACTAGGATCATGATATTTGACCTGTGGTTTGTCTAGGTGAAGATTTATCAATTTGTTTTCATATAAATGACTGACCTGTGATCAAGGTTGTTAGTGGAAATTTCTAATATTGTGTAAAGAATCTTCCCAAGAACCACGACTTCATCTTCAGAACCAAAAGAACTAGTATCATGATATTTTACCTGTGGTTTTTATTTTTGTTTGTTTGATTTTGTTTAACGTCCTATTAACAGCTAAGGTCATTTAAGGACGGCCTCCCCTGTGTGCAAGATGCATGCGTGTAGTGTATGTGTGTGTATTTTGGGAGGCTGCGATTTTGTCTAAGTAAAGATCTATCAATTTGTTTTCATATAAATGACTGACCTGTGATCAAGGTTGTTACTGGAAATTTCTAATATTGTGTAAAGAATCTTCCCAAGAACCACAACTTCATCTTCAGAACCAAAAGGACTAGTATCATGCTAGTTTACCTGTGGTTTGTCTTGTTAAAGATCTATCAGTTTTTTCATATACATGACTTTGACCCATGTGCAAGGTCATTAATGTAAATTGTGTTATAATCATGTAAAGAATCTTCTCAAGAACCACAACTTCATCTTAAGAAACAAAAGGACTAGGGTCATGATATTTGACCTGTGGTTTTTCTAGTTAATTTTTTTTTTCTTCATATAAATTACTTTGACCTGTGTTCAAGGTCATTAGTGTGAATTGTTATAATTGTGTTAGGACTCTTCCCAAGAACCACATTGCCTGGAGACATGATACAGTTTTTGTTGCTCGTCTGTAGCTTGCTGGAGTACATTGCTCGTCTGTAGCTTGCTGGAGTACATTGCTCGTCTGTAGCTTGCTGGAGTACAATGCTCGTCTGTAGCTTGCTGGAGTACATTGCTATGTAAGTCATGCATACCTTGACACAGTTTCAAGGTCAGTTCAAGGTCATAGTAATGAAAAGTTCAAATTCTTAAAGGAAGTTCTTATGATAAAACAGGATGCCTAGAGTAACTATATCTGTATGCAGCTTGCTGCAGTGAAGAGTTCTCAAGTGTTTACAAATAAATAACTAGGTCCAGAGGGATCATATGTGTCAACCAACATTCTGAACTTTTGAGAAAAGGGCTTTAGTTAACAAGACTGACATGTTTAGTAGTCATAGGTGATGCAGAATTCAAATAGCTTCTCAAACAATTACAAGACATGTAGCGTCACATTGGTCAAATGTATTGAACATCTTATGGATTTCTCAGGCATTTCAGCTTTGTAACTTATTCACCCTTGTAGACACATTTGAACTCTTCCAATTCAAAGGTTGGAATAGTCCATAATGAAATTTTAGGGGTGAACGAGTTGATGTATTTTAACAGATAAATGATACAGGCCCACTGAGCCTCTTACTATTACCTTATATTATGGATGCTCAAACCACTGCCTGAAACTATACCTTTGCACTGGTGTGACTATAGTGTTGATAAATCATTTCTGAATAGATACCGATACCTTGCAGGATTTGAACAAAATAGTATCAACAATAATGTTCTGAATGTAAAACACTGGCAGGGCTAGAGAGGGATTCAAGCCCTGGACTTCAAAGTGTTATATTGTCGCCTTACTGACTGAGTTACCTGGCCAACATCCTTGGTGTCCAGGGGTTATGCTCACTCCTGGATATTGAGGATGCCTGGTCAACAGAAGTGGCCTGACCCAACTATGTTATGGTTTTATCCGAAAACGAAAATGAAGGGGAGGTTACTGTATGTACGAAAACCCCCAGTGCAGAGTACATTAATAGAATCAAACCTTTTACATATATAGTACGTATTGGTCATGTTACAATAGTGTAGCTTGTTTAATGCTACCACAAAAGATGGAACAATGGTACCGGTGATATCAGGAAAAAATAATCCAATCTTAATTGTTAATGAAAATATAAGGATTGTATAATAGTACATGGTCTGGGATCAGGTACCTGTGGTCTGGGATCACGTTTTAAAACGCTCTGGACGTCTATTTTTAGAGGAGAGTGTCTGAGTAGTAGCGTTTATCAAGTATTGTAGTTGTGCAAAGTACGCAGGTACACGGACAACAAAAGTTTTTACATTTCTGTAAATATAATATTTTACAATTTACTACATTAGTGACCAATTAGGCAAGTCACTTTTATTTCACATAAGAACATAGCCAGTTATTGGCATTTAACACAATGACAAGTCATTTTTACTTCATTAAAAACCATGGTAATTAATCACTTTTACTTCATAAAAGACTATTGTCAATAATTTTAACGCTTTGTATTAAATTGTTTGATTTTAGTATAATTTGTCTTTTTTTTTTTAGACATTTTTCTCTTCAATAACAGTGAACGAAATTGTCACACTCAGTGTCTGTATACTATACTGTTTACAGGGAAATTGTCATTGCAGTTTAATTTTTGCCTTTTTAGCTCACCTGCCCGAAGGGCAAGTGAGCGTATGCCAAGGCGCAGCGTCCGGCATCCGGCGTCTGTTGTCCGGCCGTCAACTTTTCCTTTAAACACTACTAGTCCGGAACGGCTAAGTAGATTTTCGCTAAATTTGGTCTGGAGATCCTTAGGCCAAGGGGACTCAATTTTTTATAAATGGTTGGTGTGGCCCCCCTGGGGGCTGAGGGGTGTGGCCCTAAAGGGGAAATAGAGGTAAAACCTTTAAAATCCTTCTTCTATCATAGGGATTAAGAGATTTTATCCGAATTAAGTCTGTAGCATCCTAAGGCCAAGGGGACTCAATTTTACAAATACAACAAATACAACAAATTCTTTAAAATCCTTCTTATTCTGTAGGAATGAAAGGATTTGGTCCATATTTGGTCTGAAGCATTCTTGGGTGAAGGGGAACTAATTTTGTATAAATGGTGGGTGTGGCCCCCCTGGGACCTGAGGGGCGGGGCCAAATAGGGGAAATATAGGTAAAACCTTTAAAATCCTTCTTCTACTATTGGGTTTAAGGGATTTTAACCTAATTTAGTCTGGAGTATCCTTGGGCCATGGGGACCCAAATTTGTATAAGCAGTGGGTGTGGTCTCCAAGGGGGCAGAAGGGCAGGGCCCAATAGGGGAAATAGAGGTAAGTTAACCTTTAAAATTCTTCTTCTACCATAGGGATGAAGGGATTTCTTCCCTATTTGGTCTGAAGGATCTTGGGCAAAAGGGACTCAATTTTGTATAAACAGTGAGTCTGGCCCCCTGGGGGCAGAAGGGCATGGCCCAATAGGGGAAACATAGCAATTTTTTTAAATACCTTCTTCTGTACAAATTACAGGATTTTGTCCAAATTTGGTATGAAGGATCCTTGGGTAGAAGGGGAACCAATTTTGTAGAAATGGCATGTCTAACCCCCCTGGAGGCAGAAAGGCGGGGCCCAATAGGGGAAATAGAGGTAAAACCTTTAAAATCCTTCTTCTACCATAGGGATTAAAGGATTTTATCCTAATTTAGTCTGAAGCATCCTTGGGCCAAGGGGACTCAATTTTGTATAAGCAGTGGATGTGGTCTCCCAGGGGGCAAAAAGGCGGGGCCAAATAGAAGAAATAGAGGTAAAACCTTTAAAATCTTTCTTCGACCATTGGTATTAGGGATTTTATCCTTATTTAGGGGTTGGGCTCTGTTTGAAGTTTGTTCTCCTATATCTCAAGGACTGGATGGATCTTTCTGAAATTTCATATGTACTTACAGCACCTACCATGGAGTGATATATCTTTACTTCATACCAATTATTTAAAACATGTTCAGGTGAGCGATACAGGCCCTCTGGGCCTCTTGTTTTACCCGAGACCAATCAAAGCGCTTATTAATGAGGTCGAATTTATCATTACACAACATAATATCCGTAGAAATTAAGGAGAAGGGTACTTCTTCTGTGCGAAAATTCCCACGTATTCAGTATATACTAGAAGGGGAGAAATCTGAACCAGTTAATGTATAAACACAAACTTGTGGAAAAGGTGATACTTGTGTATGTGAATGTGAAGAATCTGATCGATAAAGGGAATTT